AAGCAAGCAAAACAAAACAAAAACAGGAATGTGTGTTTTGAGCAGAAATGAGGAGAGCTGGAAGGACCGAAAGGGGGTGTGTACAGAATTTCATTAAATTGTTACTTTAAGATTGTCTTCTTAAAAAAAAAAAAAAAAAAAAAAAAAAAAAGGAGGGGGTGGAGAAGCGGGAGCGAAGGAGGCAAACGGCGAAGTGGAGGAAGGCTGGGTAGCTCGGCCTCTCCAAACTGATTGATTAGTCATGATCCCCGCAGTTTGAACAGGGACTCATTCAATTGGGAAGGTGGAGCGCTCGGGAGCAGATTAGCATACGCTTGTTTACTCATCTTCTGAGGGCTTTTTTCCCCCCTCTTTCCTTTCATTTTGTGAAGAAGGAGGGAGGGGAGGGGGGACTGAGGTGGGGGGAGAAGGGGGCTGTGGCTTGTGTTATAAAGGACGCAAAAAATAAATAAATTAGAGCATCTTTTGGGGGGAGGGAATTCAGCGGATCAGTGTCTTAGAGGAGCTTTTTTTTATTATTATTTTTTTGAAGAGCGAGAAATCATATAAAATAAAATGAAATAAAACAAGGAGGAAGGCAACCAGCTGTTAGAGGGGAAAAAATAAGGCAGATAAAGGAGCGGGGAGAGAAATTAATTGCCAACCAGGAGGAGTTGGGCTGTATTTTTCAAAGGTGGGGGGAGTGGAGCACACACCTTGAGGAGGGAAGCGAGAAAGAAAAGAAAAAAGCAAGTGGAAGGGGGGGCTCGCCCAAGAAGGGTGAAGAAGCGAAGAAAGTCGAGGCGCCGAGGCTCCCAAAGCTGGCAGCTCCGGGCGGCGGTGTAGGGGCGAAGGGGGGGGGGGGGGGACCGTCGGACATGCGGCTCTGGAGTTGGGTGCTGCGCCTGGGGCTGCTGAGCGCCGCGCTGGGCTGCGGGCTGGCCGAGCGCCCCCGCCGGGCCCGGAGAGACCCGCGGGCCGGCCGCCCCCCGCGCCCCGCCGCCGGCCCGGCCACCTGCGCCACCCGGGCGGCCCGGGGCCGCCGCGCCTCGCCTCCGCCGCCGCCGCCGCCGCCGCCGCCGGGCGGTGCCTGGGAAGCCGTGCGCGTCCCCCGGCGGCGGCAGCAGCGGGAGGCGAGGGGCGCCGCCGAGGAGCCGAGCCCGCCGAGCCGGGCGCTCTATTTCAGCGGGCGAGGCGAGCAGCTGCGCCTCCGGGCCGACCTCGAGCTGCCCCGGGACGCGTTCACGCTGCAAGTGTGGCTGCGAGCGGAGGGGGGCCAGAGGTCTCCGGCGGTGATCACAGGTAGGCGAGGGCGCCCCGGCGGGTGCCCGGGCTCGGGTGGCGGGCCGGTGGGGGGCTTGCGGGTGTGTCTGGGCGGGAGACTCCCTGGCCGGAGGCACCGAGGCACCCGGGAGAGCTGCGAGCCTCACTTTGCCCCATCTGCGGAATGGGCGCACTGGGAAAGCTTTTTGCCTAGCCCCTGGGGAGGGACTCAGGGAGTGCTCCTGGCGGCCCGAGACCGGGCTGTGGCACGCAGTGAGGGCTGGTCCCTGGGAAGCCTTGTGCCCGTACCTCCTATATTGTGTTCTAGATGGTCCGAGGGACCATCTCTGTTTGGGATGGAGGGGAGGTTGACCCAATAGGGATGCATGCGAAAAGAGGCCAGGGGATTATTGATTTCTTTGACTTTTTAATGGACATGAGCACCCCCCCCCACCTTCATTTGGGCCCTTTACCCTGAAAGCCTGCAAGAACGGGGTTGTTGTGATCAGAAGGACTTAGAAGTCCTCGAAGTGCCCCAAAGTTGCTTTCTGCTTGATGCCTGCCTGTGGGATGCACCCCTTCTCCCCTGCCTCAAACACACATGCACACACACACACACACACACACACCGGCATCCCGTCCCCTGGCTTTTAAAGCCCAATGCCTGTCACTCCGGGCTGGGGCAAGACCTTCCTAACGCACACCCAGCCAGTCTTCTCCAGGCACGGCCGCGAAACGGGGCGCTTTCCTCATTTGGGACTTTTACGAGCCCGTAATGAATTTGAGTTCTCCCTCTTCACCCTCCCCTTCCCTGTTCCAGAGCAAAGCCCATAGTGAAACCGGACACTTTGCAAGGGTTGCAAACCTTAGAAATGCTCCAATATCCATTTTTCCCCCTCTAAATGAATCTGTGGCAATGCCTTTAATTTAACTGAGGGGCGGGGTGGGGGGGCAAGGAGGGGCGGCGCTGGTGGAGAGAAGGAAAGTTTGCCTCTTCGGACTGAGACTGGGAGATTCCCTTCCTGCACAAACAATTTTGCCATGTCCTAGGACGTCTTAAAATGAGAGTAGGGGTTCCCCCTTTGCTGCAGCCAGGAAACATGTGGAGGCGGTTCGCGATCCCACCCCCTTACACACACACTTTCTTCGAAGGGAAAGCTGTGAGTTCTTCCGGCAGTTCTGCCTCAATCTGTCTTGCTGTGGACTTTCTCAGACGTTGTGCTGACGCTCTTCTCCTTCCGTGAACCCCGTTTCGGGGGACCCAAACTCTGCTGCTATACCAAGAATCTAGCCCCAAATCTCCCAGTCTCCGGATCCCAAACCGAGAGCAAGAAAGTCACTTTCCCCCACACCTGACGTCATCACATGCTATTTTTTTCTCTCTGACACCCCCCCACCAGCCCAAGAAGGTGAGGGAAACTGAGCTCATTCACTGTTAACTCTCAGGTCCTAGGCACCTGAAGTGGGGTATACTGTAGAATGGAGGGAAAGTGTTATTTATAATAATAACGATGATGGTGATAATTCAGGACTATATGATATGTTTACTTCTCTTTCGGAACATCGGAAAAACATAGAGCCTGATGCTTGGAGAGGATGGGAAAAAAATGAGTAGATCGGATTTTTCCTGAGCTTTACCTGTCATGCTAGTGATTTGGAATGCTTTTCCTCCAGAGGGGAGGGCCCAGGGTTGTATAGGTATCATCAATGAAAAGATAGTAAATATGTTTGTTTGTTTGTTTGTTTTTTAATAATATATATATAACACCTGGGATTCCACAGGAGCCTGGCTTTATAAATGTCTATAATTCAGACAAGGAGCCTCTCTTCGCACGCGTTCTCTTGAGCACTCATTCACTCTCTCACACAAAGATTGTGCAGTAAAATACTTTAATTGGATGGGGGACGTTAAGTTATTATTGCTTGTATAAAATGCCTGGCCCATTTTATGTGTGGAAATAACATTCCTCTCAAAATGCAAAAAAAAAAAAAAAGAAGAAGAAGAAAGAAAGAAAGAAAGAAAGAAAGAAAGAAAGAAAGAAAAGAAAAGAAAAGAAAAGAGAGAAAGAAAGAGAGAAAGAATGGAAAGGCACTGCTCTCGTATAGTACCAGAAAGCCAGGAGCTTTTCTCCCGAGGATTCTGGTGGATTTTTTTTCCCTCCCCTCCTTGAGTCTGAGCCAGAATTGGCGGTGTGTAAACACCTGGCCCTGAGCCAGAAAAGACTCATTCTGCGTATCCTCCACACGGTACAGACTGTTGGACTAAAAAGAACCTGCTTCTCCTTGAATTAAAATGCAAACAAACAGAGGTTCTTTGCAGAAGCACTTTTTTTCGGCTCCTTCCTTCGTCCGTGTAAGTTCAGGCGGGGAGAGGCAGGGCCTAGGTGGGCAGCCCGGACGCCCGGTGCCCAGCCACGACCTCCGGCGCCCGGTTTGTCGCCTGACCTCCGCCAGCCACCTTTGGCTGGGCGTCGCCATCACTTTAGTAGGAATCCCTGGTCCCCTATCTTGAGAGAGCAGGCATCTCTCAGCGGGGAGCGCGCTGCTATTTCAGGCAGAGGGTTGCTGCCTTGCTTTCAGGCCAGGCTGCCTTACATCACTCTTTGCTGCGGGATTCAATTGGGTTTCGTAAAGGTCTAATTTTACGGTGCTGTTAACCGGGTCTGTCGTCTGGCAGAGGCAGGCCTTGCCGCTCCTGGTAGGCGGGCTGTGCTCCCAGATCCGCCCGGGATGCTATTTCTGCGCCGGTTCAAACTTCACTGACACCAGTTCAGACAGGGGTGCTCCGGAGAGGCAGGGGGAAGGAGGGAAGGAGCAGCGTGCTTCTGAAGCCCAGAAAACATGCTTTTTATTTTTCCAAAAGGGAAGAACAAAAAATATATATATATATATATATATACATATATATATTAATAAATAAAAAGGGAAAACTGATGCAGGCAAAAACAAAGTCAAAGTTAGAAAGTGCTTGTGTCCAGGCTTCTCCCGTGGGCCCCCCAATGATGGAGGGTCTTGAGAATTGAAGAATCCTTTAAGACTACAGGGAAAGTGGTCCTCAGGGGTTACACACACACACACACACACACACACACACACACACACGTGCACCCCAGTTCTCTCTGTAGTCAGGTAGGGAGACAGGGATGGGAGGGAGGGGTGCTGCTGGCTGACACAGCTCCTGGATGGCAGGAACTGGGCTTTAATCTTAGGCACACGGCCTTCCAGGGCCTTCCCGCCCCCCACAGTGGAGAAAACATGTCTAGTAAACAGCATCACCTCTTCCCCGTCCCCGACCCACCACCCAGGCCCAGCCTTGCCTTCACGCACAGCCGTTTGGGCTCCCTTTCAAGTCCAGGATGGGGGGCTTTCTTCCACACTCCTTTGCTTTTGTCCTGTAGCAGGCAGGATCCAGACCCCTGCCCCTCATCCCCAAAGCCCCCCCCAAAAAAAAAACCCTCCAGTTCAAAGAAAGAGAAAGGAGAAGAAAAAGAAAACAATAGACTCAATTTGCTCCATCGAGCAGAGGCCTGGAGCAGCCGTTAATCTTGTTAAAGTTTCTCCTGACGTGTTAGATAAGTGAAATGTGGACCCCACAAGTGGTGCCCTCCTCCCACCCCATCCCTTCCTGATCCAGAATTCATGCTCTGAAGGCGAAAGGGATTTACCTGAATCCTGTCCAGCACCTCTGCTCGCCACACTTTTTTTCTTTTGTTCCAAATGCTGGGCTGTTGAGTTTGCTGGCTAGTTAGAGGAATCTTTTTATATCCTCCCTCCTACAGCTCCCCCTTCCTACTACCCCCCCAAGCCCCCCAAAAAGAGTGCCTGAAGTTTCCCCACTTCAGAAGTGCTGGAACAGGGACGGCTGGGTTTCAGGGAGTCCCTCTATTAATACGGCTCTCCCCCGGACTGTCGTAGTTACATGCAGGGTCTAGAATATTCCAAGGGCTAGAAGCCAGTTTCAGCCGTCAGGTTACCTACATGAGAATCCACCTCTGCCCCAAACTGGCTGGGTGACCTGGGGCAAGCTAGTTGACTCCCCTGGGCTTGAGCTTCATCTACAAGGTGAGGATAGCACAAGTACCTGCTCATTAAATGAGTTCACGCAGGGAGAGAGCTCAGCCCTGGACTTTGGTGGATCGTAAGTTCTCCATAAACTTCCCTCTTACTATTGGACGTGATTTCCCAGAGCTCAGTCTTACCCTTATGGACTGAGGACACCGAAAGGCAGGAAGGAAAGCAGCTCTTCCTGGATGCCTCCGAGGGGCCACACACGGCAGAGGTGACTTAGTGCACAGACCCACAGGCCGTCAGGGAGGCAGAGCCCAAATGTGAACTTGAGTTTTAATCATCCGTTCCCTCTTCAGCAGTCTTTCTGGAGAGAGAAGAAACAACTCACATTCCCTTCTTTAGCCCTGCTGCAGAATGTCCCCATTCCTTTCTGCGTTTCTGGGTGCTGACCATGCCCCTACAGATTTAAGAGGATAGAAAATAAATCTAAGTCTCACGGGGAACCCTGGCTTTGACCTAGCAAGTCTGTTTCTCCTTTCGCGCCAGATTAGGCAGACTGGCCTTGGACTATCTGTTGCCGGTTCCCCGCCGTGTGATTTGAATTCGGTCATTTTTTTCAGCTCACTATCCTTTCATTTCCTCATCTGTAAAATGGGGATAGTGATCCCGGGACACTGTAGTGAAGTAAACATGCAGAAAGTACCTGGCACAGTGTCAGCTCCTATTAGGGACTCGGTCAACGGTGACGGGATCCAGTAAGTAACCACATTCCCTTTTCCAGTTTGCTAACTTGGCCTTCTGGAAGCTGGGCCTGTTTGCACTGTTAGGGTGTCCCCTCTGGAGTTACAGTGGAGTTTTTCTAGAGTAGACCCTGTATCTCAGGGGACAGTTAGACAACCCCCCCCTCAAAGTCCCTTCCTTGCACTTTCATTTCCTCTTCTTTGACCTACTTGGATGACCCCTTGGTGGTAAGAGCCAGAGGAAGTCTAGAACCACTGGACCAATGAATAAGAAAACCAGTTAGCACTGAA